GACAGTAAAGTACTAGCTGTTATCCTGTTCTGTCTTCTCTTTCTAACACGTACTGGGGGAACAAAACCAATGTTGACACAGGAACACACTAGGTTACAACAGTTATGCAGTCATAGTATATATAGCAGCCACTCACACTGCAAGCAGACTCGCATTTCGGATCAAGGATCAAAGGCACATAAACTAATTTGTGCCTCAAGTCGGTGTGCTGGCAGCACTCCAGTTTGAGTTTTTCTGGGCTAAATATATGAGCCGACAGTTCACATTCAAGGTGTAAAGTGCGTGGTCAGGCTTTGCTAGGACTTACTACCTCAGGTTAAACCAGACACTGATTGCACAGTAAATTGTCCAACAACACCTATTTCAAGCATGACCGCGAATAAAGTTTGGGATACCTTGGTTATCTGGAGCCTTTACAATTACCTCAACACGCGCGCTGAGCTAGCGAGGGTGCCATCAGTCTAAACTTGTTCTGCTATTAAAGTCAGAACGGATTACTTATATGGCCCCCCAAACAGGATATAAGAAATGGAACTGGCCGCAATAAGGTTGGTTTGGCGTCAAATTGCGACGACATTTAGGCTTCGTTGAAGATTAGGGTTCGGATGAAGTTTAGGGTCACGTTTACGGTTAATTTAGGACTATGTTTAAGGGTAAGGTTAGTGTTAGTGTTACGTTTGTGTAGAAGGTCACGATAAGTGTTAACTGCAGTGTTACGGTTTGGGGTAGGGCAAGGTTAAGCTTTATGTCAGGGGTAGGACACGGAACTATTCACCCTTCTTGGAATTATAAACAGAGCCATCTATATTACGGATTTTCTTATTTTTGTGGCCTATTTAGGGGGCCATATGAGTCATTCTTATCTTAAAATCGAATGATTTAACTATCTTCTGCAAAGTAATCAGCAATTAATCTAACAACTACAATGGTCTACTTGTATGAAAATTTCCTGATTTAATCCCTAGAATGTACAGTAGACGCCAAAGATCATGCAACATTTCGACATGTGCGAAAGACTGATATTCTTTCGCTAATCGGCATTGAACCAGGTTGTGATACTCATTATCGTGTTGTCTATTCTTAAGTCATTTCAGTCATACTAGGATGCGGGCTTTTTAATGAGCTTCGTTCCGACCACTAGCAGTACGCATCTATTGTAAAAACTGGCTACTTATGTAGTATGCCTTTTTATCATTGATTTTGTCTGTCTTTATAAATTCAAATATATTTTATGGAAAACATGCAGGAAAAAATTATTTCTTCTACTTTTTGATAGCAAATTATGCCTTCTTTAAATTTTATACTCAAAGAATGAATAGCTTTCGGTTTTAAAAAAAGTTGCTTAATTGCCGAATACTTTTCTAAACTAGTGACTGCTACACTCGAATTCAAGGTTTAAAACCTACGCACTGCGTACATCCTGTTTAAGGAAATGTACAATTTCGCATACAGTTCGAGGAAGAAGTCACATGGTAGTCATAAAATATTCAAGTAGCTTTAGAATATAATTCATGCAGTATGGGCAGCACTTATAAATTGACGGATAAGATGTATTACGGATGAAGACCTCACAATCGTAAAAAAGCTCATAATTACCAACTTTTTTAAAACCAAAAGCTATTCATTCTTTGAGCTTAAAATTTAAAGGCGTAATTTGCTATCAGACGTGTACAAGAAATAATTTTTCCTGCATGTTTTCCATAAAATATATTTGAATTAATAAAGACAGTCAAAATCAATGATAAAAAGGCATACCACCTAAGTAGCCAGTTTTTTAAATAGATACGTTCTACTAGTGATCGGAGCGAAGCTCATTAAAAAGCCCACATCCTAGTATGACTGAAATGACTTCAGAATAGACAACACGATAATCAGTATCACAACCTGGTTCAATGCCGATTAGCAAAATAGTATCAGCCTTTCGCACATGTCGAAATGTTGCATGATCTTTGGCGTCTACTGTATGTGCATGAACCTTCTCTCGGTCGCTATAACTATTAACAGGCTGTGGGAAGACGTGTTACATTAGATGCATTTCAATTTCAAAGTCTGCATTTTAACTGCATTGTATAAATATAGGTACTGATTTCGATTTTCTAGATGGTATACGCACATAGACGGCACTCGAAAGTATCTTTTCATAAGTCAATTAAACGACAGCAGAGGTCGCGCATAGAAAAACACAAGACTACTACTTATCAAAAGTTATTCGACTTTACTCTCTGCCTTCCTTGTACTTCTAGAAAATTAGATTAGTGGATAAAATATGTTCTTACTTCTTGGAAATAGCCCAGAGCGTCGACGGCACAGTCGACGGTTATGGCTAGGTAGGCGCCGGCTGGTACAACACCACTTGTGGGACTCACGCTGAATGGTCCAAGCTGAAGTCGATTGCCCCCATCCTTTGTCGAGAGAATGTCTATTCTATTTATAAATCAGAGCAATCAAGACGGTTCAAAATATAAGCAAGGTGAAGTTTACTGTACATTAACTGAAAGTTCAGAGAAAATGTGGTTGGGAACATATACACAGTCCCTTACATAGCCGAATTTTCCTAAAGTTTTAACGAACGAACATTAACAACGACATGGTAAATACGAACTTGAATGCAGTAAATTATTCCTATTCTATCTTGGTGCAAGTCGAGGGTAAGCTCGGGGAAATAAATCTTAGGCAGATTTACTGAGAATAATACGGTAGGGACGTAGGCTATCGTTGGGATTGGTTTAATCCGGGTCCGTATTTCCTACTTACTTGCATGGCGCTAGAGAGGAGCTCTGTGGCGTGGGGTGCTGACTTCCTCACTAGAATGCTCAGGTTTGAGGTCCAGTCCCATCGAATTTTCCCTAAGTAGGTCTACCAATTGGTGTTTACCTTACTGCTGTTACACTCTTCTGTTTGCGTTATATGATTCTGTATAGTTTGCCCTTGGGGGGCCTGCGACAACTGCCGAACAAGCTGATCGACGCTCATGACCCCTTGCTGCGGTCTTTATCCTCTAAGATGTGATGACAGATCCGTCGGGTGACTAATGGACGCGTTAGTCACCTGACGGATTTGTCACCTCCGAGCTCCCGAGTAGACGCAGGCGCTTAGGAGGCCACGAATGCAATTAGCACACGAGGCTGCGACCACCAGCCCTTTGACGGCGTTGGCTCGACGGCAGAAACCCCAGTGTCTGACACTGAACGGCCACAAAAGTTATCCTAAAGCGCTGATCCGAAAATGAAGATTATTTCAGTAACGTCTTCTCGTTTTTGATTTTGTGACAGGAGCCTCTTATATGCATTCTCCACACCCAGCAGGACAAGAAAAAACGAAGCGCTTCTGGTATAGGTTGCTTCGCGTTAAATAACATGGAAAGGAGAGTTATTATTAATATAAAACTGGTGTATGCACTAGAATTTATTGGTTCCAACAAATTTCGTGGCGGCTTATCAACTGCAACT